AAGGTCAATTTTATTTCCCTTATTCCTATTTTGTAGAGAGGAAACTGATTACCTGTAAGTGAAGACTCTGACTCAGTGGCAGCACACGGTAGGCCTTCCACAGAGGGCAGTGAGGATCACACTGTTTATCCTGCAAGTGTCTACTGACCTGTCACAGGCTGGACACAGCCCTGGGTACTTGGACTTGTGTCTCACTGCCAGGCCTATCTGGTAAATTGTGGTCACACCTGCACATAGTTCTTCCAAGGGGGGCTGAGGAGACTCCAGGGGGGACTTTCAACTGGATGACGAGGCAGGTACCAAAGTTTGGCCAGTATCAAAATGCCAGTCCTCAGCTGGGAGACTGGGTGGCGTGAAGCCTGGGCCTGCCCCAGCGGGTTTGTGTCTGAGCCCAGATCCAGTGGCTGAAGCCTGAATCCTCCAGAGAAAGCAGGTGTAACAGCTGCTCCACCGGGGCCCTGCAGGGGCCAGGACACAGCAGAGTCCCAGGGCCCTTGGGGAGCACACATGGACCAGCAGAGAGGCAGCAGCTGCTAGGGGGCCACACCTCAGCTATTGGAGGTGAATGGCAGCCCCAGGGAAAAGGCCCTGGTTCCAGCTGAAAACAGCTCTTAAGTCACTTTGCTGAAAACCAGTTTTTTTTAAACTTAATTTACTAAAGCCCCCAAAATGATAAAGTTGCTAAATTACTGAGGGGTTTTATGAAGTTTCTGTGTTGCTCTTCCCTGGGCTCTGGCCTCTGCTTATGTGGGAGTAGTGCTGATGGGTCAGGGGTAATTCTGGACCTGCCGTTCCGCCTTCGCTCCCCACTCTGGCCACGCCGTGTCTCCTGCCCTCTCCTTCTTCCATTTTGACTCAAATGGGGAGCATTCCCTCAAGGCACATGTCTCCAAAATTCACATCTCCAATGATATCAGTTTGGGATTAATATCTCCAAGGTTACTAACTTTGGACACACATGTCTTGCCATTCTGCACCGGTTAGGATTGCCATTGACAGCAAGCCACAGAAAACCTGGGTGTGAGAAGCCCAAGTGCACCCTCCCCCTGAGTTAGGGGTGCTATTTTCCCCAAGCATCAGGAAGTCTGAAGGGGACCAGCACATAAACCATGTCTCCTTTTTTTTCTTTTCATTGAAACTCATATAGTATGTTTATGACAAATGGTGTAGTTGCTGCCAAAATTAAAAACTCAAAGGTACTACGGGGTAATAGATGCTTTACATACGGAGGGGTGTTTAGTGGCATGGTAGTTCTTAATCACGACACGACTGATAATGACAATATTTGGTTTAGGCACTCGGGAGCATCTAGGGGTCAGATTTTATTAGGAAGACTGGAAGGGCGGGGCAAGGGAGGGGGCGGGGCAAGGGAGGGGGCGCGGGGCGGGGCAAGGGATGTGAAGCACCAGAGCATAGCGGAGCAGCAGGCACAGAGAGAAGAGACCTTCTGCTGCACCACATGCGCTCTAGCTCCCACGTTCACTTGCGGGTATGCTCCCTGGCCAGGGCTTGAACTCAGGCCGCAGAGGTGATAGCGCTGAGACTAACCCCTAGGCCATCCTGGAGGCTCCACCAGCGGCTTAGTTAAATGGAGCCTTTAACCTTTATTAGGAGGCTTCAGGAGAACTACTGACAGCTGCTTCTCCAGCAAGTCAGAAGAGACTACGGCTGCCCTTCCCTTCCTCAGTGATCATCACTGTCTCCTTCCAGGGCCCATGGGCGCTGAGGGAAGATGGCTTTCAGCGGCACCTCCATGTCTTCATCGGTGACAAGAGGGTCAAAGTATGGGGATTTTTCAATTCTAAAACAGAAGTATTTTTCATTGATGAATCAGAAGAAAAACCTACACAGTTCAGAAAGTAATCAGGATTGTACTGATCCTGAATGATTTCTTTGGTGATGATCATGTGTAAAATCAATATTTAGAAGTTTCTAGAGATTTAACTATGCAGACTTCTGATGTCCTCATAGAATAATGAATGCTTTTAGCGAGCTGAAGAGACTCAAAAAAACAAAGTAAATAATCCAGTCACAAAATGGGCAGAAGAGCTAAAAAGGAACTTCTCTTAAGAGGAAATGCAAATGGCCACCAGGCATATGAAAAAATGTTCAACATCACTTGTAATCAGGGAAATGCAAATCAAAACTACCATGAGATACCATCTTACACCAGTGAGAATGGCACATATTAAAAAAACTAGCAACAACAAATGTTGGCGAGGTTGTGGAGAAAAAGGAACTCTCCTGCACTGCTGGTGGGAGTGCAAACTGGTCCAGCCACTATGGAGAGCTGTGTGGAGATTCCTCAACCTACTAAACATAGAGCTTCCATATGATCCAGCAATTCCACTCCTAGGCATTTACCCAAAGGACACAGAACCATTAATTCCAAAGGGCACCTGCACCCCTGTTTATAGCAGCACTGTTTACAATAGCTAAGCTTTGGAAACAACCCAAATGCCCCAAAATAGATGACTGGATCAAGAAGATGTGGTACATACACACCATGGAATATTACTCAGCATTCAAAAAAGATAAACACATGCCATTTGCAGCAACATGGATGGCGCTGGAAGGGATCATGCTCAGCGAAATAAGCCAGAAAGAAGATGAAAAACACTGGGTGGTCTCACTCATAGCAGGAATTTAGAAACCAGCAAAGCACCTGTAGTCCATGACCTTAGTCTATCCTTTGCACTTGTTTTCTTCACATTGTATAGAAGAAATAGATTAAGTAGAAGAAGCCATACATTTCTGGGCATTAAAGAATAGTTTGAGTGGCTGTTCAGAATCATCTTGGAAGGTGCAATGATTTATCCCTCCATATCCTCCAGATATTTCTTAGCTCGTAAGTGTCTTCTAGTACCACCGTCTCTTCTCCCATCAGTATACATTCTGTTTGCCTTCCTTGCTCCTAGAAGCTGCCCAAGGACATATGACGTTCGTTATTAAAAATGCCACCTGCCAACATTCTAAGATCTTTCCAGGCCCTCCATGGATGGCAGTGGTTTCATATCACACTTAAAAAATCTCCTGAGGTTGTGACCAGAGATTCGTCCATTGTCGCTGCTCTCACAGAGGCGCGAGGGCTCTGGAGCGGCGCTGGGAGGGGCGATGGGGTCCAGAGGACGGAGGCAGCTGCCGGGGTCCTGGAGGCTCCTGGCCAGAGCCCGCCACACGCTGCCTTGTGGAGGCGCCGGAACTTCCACCATGGCTCCTTCTTGATGCGCTGTCATTGGCCTTGGCTTCAGTCCTCATGTGGAGAGATGGCTGCCGAACCTCCAAGCATCACATCTACATTCCAAGGAGGAATTGGGGGAATAGGATAAAGGGAAAGGCCTGTGCCACTCCTTGTGTCAGGTAAGCCAGAACATTTCAAAATCCAAGCCAGTAGATTTTTTTTGGTCACTGGTGAACATTTGTCCCATGGCTACTGTAGTCGCTGCCTGGTCTCACGTATCTCTTCCTGCCCCTGTAGCTGGAGTTGAAATGAGAGCAGGTCGGTTTCAAAAGCTCCAGGGCTGAGTGCAGTAAGAAAGCATTTTAGGAGCCCATATAGATCAGATTATTGCTGTTACTGTAACCGAATTTCTACCCATAAACAACACGATCTGAGGACACTCAGTATGCAGAGACACACAGGCACAGTGACTAGTACATGTTGATTTCAGAGCCAGATAAATATGTCTGGGTCATAGAAGAAGTACAACAGAGTGCACCAGGAGTTGCCTGAGGGAACGGCAGCCCTTCCTCCTGCTGGGGATGGGGGTGGGGCTGGAGGACTCTTAGGATCGGAGCTTCACGTGCTCCTGACACTTATTTTAAAAACTGACATCAATGCAAAT